TTTTAGCCCACCTATCCCTTCGTTATTGGGCCCTGTTTGTTTAACCTAAAAGCCTAAACCCTAAACCTACCTTTAACCTATTTAATGTAAGTTGCTAATTATAATTATTGTGTGAAAGATTTTGGAGCAGCCGTGTATTGTGTGGAAAGAGAGAAAAACCGTCCCTTTGTGAGGTTGAGAGCAAAAACCGGTTCTTGCCTCTTGCCTTCTCCAATTTGAGCTTTGTGCTTGGTTCTTCTTCTCTACCTAGCCTTTGTGGCTCTTCCTTGGCTGTAATCTTCTCACCTTAGTCCTTAGTGGGCTGTAGAAATCTGTGAGCAACCGTGTTCGGGAAGGTGGTGCCGGTTTGTGGATCGATTGGTTGGTTGTGGTTGTCGATTGATTGGTTAACTGAGCCCGTCTTGGTGAAATCAAAGGTCAATAATATAACACAAACCTCCATTCTAAATAAGCTCTCACCCACACTAGCAAGAGAACTTGCCCTATAACAGAGCCCTTTGTACTTTATCCTGATCTTCATTCTCCTAGTAGGCAAGGACTATGTACATTTTTTCCTGCTCTTCTATGTTGAAATCAACTCCTAAAGTAGATATGAAAATATATGTAAAACAATATATATCAATTAACATGGATGTGTATATAAAACAATATACACTTTACATGTATCGTGATGTAACAGAGAAGTGTTCATTTCTAATATACGTCCAACAAGGACAAGTTCCAACAAAGAGACTATTGGCATATTTGGTACATTGGGTTGAACACGAACTCACAAAACAAGTACAAAAATTTATAACCATATCTTTCTTCGTTGATCTTTTCCAATCCAACTTATCACACATTTCCACAACTAACCAGAAGAAAATGTGGGTTCATCGATGTGATCAAGTCTAGCAGGGGTATACTTTGTAAAGACCTCCAAACATTAGCTTCTTCTCCTACGTATCCCAGAAAAAAAGAAAATCTAAAATCAGAATTTGGACAACGATATAATCAACTTTACACAACTAAATTAGCATGGACCAAAACTCAGAATCAATAACAAGAACCCATAAACCTTTCTTTTCAATACTTCCTTGCATTAAAACCCATCTCTTAATCAAATAATGCATATCTGAAACTCTCAGTAGAAATCATACGATTTATTGTGTTGCATGGTGGAGAGTTTCAGAATGTAAGTAGCAAGACGAATTCTATTGAGGTGAGAAGGGGCATAACGTATCTCGACCGACCTTGTTGACATTATGGAAGGCTCGACTGATAGTTGATAGGATTTACAATCTGAACTTGAAATTTGAAGTTCTAAGAATGAACCTCCCTTCCCCCTGTCGACCTACGAGTAACTTGTCGTGGGACCTGACAATGAATATCGCCATAGGTGTCGTATTCGTAGCATGGGAAATATTGCCTGATAGGTGTCGGACGAGACCCCAACGATGTAGTAGCGCGACATCACGATGCCTTAATTGCATAGTGGATGACATTGCACTAAGAGCTAGACGACATGAATGTAAGCAGTAATGATGATATCATGAACATTTAATATTGACGAATCAGCTCATCTTGAGCTTGTGGGCTGGCCAGGCACGAGCCTAGCCCAAGCTCCCGTGTTACAAATTTAGTTTTTTGTGGAAATTACACCAACAACGCATTGATTGATTTCAATTTTTTAACTTCAAGAATCAAGTTTAACATTATTAAATTTTCTCTCCGTCCTCTCTCTTCTCTCTCTAAACACCACCAACATTGCCGCGCGCAATCGGTGAAATCGATGGGCCGACCAATCTAGCATCATCGGCGGCGCTCACTTTTAGGAGAATATTAAGGCTGACATTAAAGCATAGGCGGGGCAATTTCCATTATAAGGGAGAAGTTTGCACTAGCAGGGCATTAATTTGATAATTTGTGATTAAAAAAAAATTGCAAGTGATCGAAAAATAATGTGTGCCCAATTAATTTGATAATTTGTGATCGATAAATAAGTTGTGACCTATAAAACTTGTGGTTGGTGACTGTGACGTTACATGATTATAACTAATACGTAATTGTGATTATAAATTGTTTAATGTTGTAACCTTGATATATTTGATTACCAATTTAATTAATATTTTTTTAGTTATCTATTTAGCCTCTGTTTGGGGCTCATTTTCTTCTGGCAATTTAGAAAAAATTGGACCATTGGTACAAGTTCAGCAGACAACCAGTACAATATTCACTGTAACACAGCAGTGCAATGTGATGATTTTACCCTTTTATTGTCATGGAAAGCAATGAAAACTAGCACATGCAAAATGGCAAAACCGGGATAAGAGGGAAAAGTGGACAGTCAAATAATGAGTTTTTACTGTAGCAAAGTCTTGATGTGACCCAAAAAATGTATTTTTATTGTAAGAATGCCTACCAAACGGAGGCTAATTAATAAAATTTGCATTATGACGTTATTTTTAAACTTTAAAACAAGTTTCTTAATTTTGAAATTGTATCACATGACTATTTTAGGTATGCATTGTTCCCTTTTTTCTCTCTTTTACAGTTGACTGCCATTGGCATTTTTTCAATTTTTTTTTAATATAAACCTCCACTTCACCTTTTTATTCCCACAAATTTTTACCTTCTCAATTTACAATAGTTATAATCTCCATACTAACTCTTTTATCGTGCAATCTAAGTTTTGTCGTCAATAAATTTACTATTGAGTCATTTCTTTCTAATTCTAACATAAATTCCATTATTCTATTCTTTCTCTTGCTTCCATATATTATTCCAAATGCGAGTTCAAACAACTCTATCTAAGTGAGTCATGTTATTGAATGAAATAATTTGGAAGAGGGGACCCAAGAAAGTGATAAATAATAGTTTCATAATTTCCTAGAAGGCAATGAATGCAGTATAATCTTTGATTGCTGATGACATCACATAAGGCATTGTCATCGATTTTAAGTTAATTTTTCTAATTTTATAGAAAAATTGTATATGTAATATTTTGTTGTATACAGTTTTAACTTCACGTACATTAATAGCAGTCGATCCCAAGCTTAAAAAAATAAGGATGATTTTAATTTTTCCTTTTTTTTAAACAAAAATCGGATCATGGGCTCGTAGACTACTAAACTCGACCTATAAAATTCAAGAACATAAGATCGAACCGAACGTCATTTATGAACACAAGCTGAGTCTACTAGGCCGATCGATCTAGCATTGCCATCCTTAGTAGGGACTAGCTATAAACAAAAACTGCCATTTCAATCCCTTTCTTGTTCCCTCGAGCCAATCAACCAAACGAAGGTTCTATTTGTGCAAATACGGAATTTCACACGATTATAATCCTTCTTCAGACACCATTTTTAAGAAAACTCGTTTATAGAATTCATCGAAAACGCGTGGACATTTGTACTGTTGAACCACAGGAAAACATCAAATCTTGTACAACCGCCTGTTTATGACTACATGACAACGCAGATTATTTTGCCCTTTTCCCATTTTATTTTTTTTCGTTTTTCACATTCTTGGCGGTGGGGTATTAGTCCACTTGCTCTTTTCCATTTTGCGGATTTATCCATGTCTTCTGCGCTCGGATGTACCACGAATCTTCTTTCTTCGAGACGGTGATACAATCTGAAACGAATGCGAGAAAAACCCAGGTGCGAATTGCATTTTTATTGGGTTTTCTTCTGTTTAAGCTAGCATTTTTTTTTTTTTTTGTGTTTTAAGTTTTCAACTTGTTCACTTCTATTTTATTGTGTATAGGGGGCGCATAGTGCAAAACCCTTGTGAGAAATTCTAGTAAATTTAGCATTTGGAGTCATATTATCATAATATTTGAGTGATCGGCATCTGATATAGCTCTTGGAAAAATATATGATTAAAGATAGATTGGTTGTTGAGTTGAATTATTAGATTGGAAAATTGAAGGTTGGTATTTATTTTAGACAAGATGGTTGAAACTAGCGAGGGGATTGCTAATAATAGTGCATATACAAATGGATTGGTTCGAAGTGGAAATGGTTCTGTAGAGGAGAAGATTGATGAGATTCGACAATTATTTGGGAAAGCAGATGGCGATCCATTGAGGATTGTTGGGGTAGGCGCAGGGGCTTGGGGTAGTGTGTTTGCAGCAATGCTGCAAGATGCATATGGGAGTTTTCGCGACAAGGTTCAGATTAGGATATGGAGGAGAGCTGGGAGGTCTGTTGATAGAGCCACAGCTGAGCATCTATTTGAGGTGATCAATTCGAGGGAAGATGTGCTGAGGAGGCTCATAAGACGATGTGCATATTTGAAGTATGTGGAAGGGAGACTAGGCGATCGAATGCTGTATGCAGATGAGATTTTGAAAGATGGGTTTTGCTTGAATATGATTGACACTCCACTCTGCCCTTTAAAAGTCGTCACTAACTTGCAAGAGGCAGTGTGGGATGCTGATATTGTTATTAATGGATTGCCATCTACGGAAACTCGTGAAGTGTTTGAAGAAATTAGTAGGTATTGGAAGGAAAGGATTACAGTGCCTGTCATCATTTCTTTAGCGAAAGGAATAGAAGCTGAGTTAGAGCCTGAACCACGTATAATCACTCCAACTCAGATGATCAATCGAGCAAGTATGAGTTCTCATCTTTTCTCTCATGTTACATATATTTTTTCGTAGATGGCATAAGAATTCTTCTGATTTAGTTCCTTAGACACAGTGTCTTACTTATATGAGTAACTAATCACTTTCCTAGTACAGTAAAATTAGCCTGAATGTTCATCACTGTTCTCCTAGTACAGTAAAATTAACTTGAAAAGTCATCATTGTTCTTTCATATTTTTCTGAGCATGATGTAATTTGTTTTTGCCTAATTTGATAAATTGATTGGTGCTTATACTCCTCTTCATCAATCCTTTGTACTTTTCTTGGTTGGGGAAAGTCAATCATGGTAATTTAACTTCTCCATAGCTGGAAAGAATTGGTCTCACTCAGACAAGGAGTAATTCGTTTATGTTTAATTGGTAATTATTGGATAATCTTGTAAACCATGTGTTGGGTAACTAGGTGCAGTTTTTGATTTGCTAATTGCAACTAGGTGTAGGTTGTGCCATTTTATTTCTATATATTACCATCCAGCTATAATTGTAATCTTTTGGTAGCACGTTCATACAGATTGATGTTAGCCAACAAGTTTATCACAGCTGGTCACTATACTGACAGAGAAAGGGCCCTATGGTTGTTGCCAAAGTATTTTTCTCTTGCTGTTCTTTTTTTTTTTATATGGATAACTAATGAACTATCAGGAAAAAACTAATTTGAATAACTATTTTATGAAGGGGATGGTAGCTGGTACTTACCTAGCTGTGGTTTTGCTTGTTTCATCCAAAATTTCTTGAAAACAATAAAGAGTTACAAATATATTTTTATCTACTGGAAATACAGTCCAAGAAAAGGTTTTCTTGCTTGTTTAGTAGCTATTCACTATTTAAGGGTCCTGTTTGTTAAGGCACCCAAAGATGCATTTTAGTTTATTACACCAGCTTAGTCTTCTTTGTCCAGTTAAATATTGATCAGCTATGGTTCTTGATATTGAAAATATGAGGCCTTACATAATCAATCTGTGCACTGGCAGCATAAATATCCTGATTTCTTTTTTCTTTGTCGATGGTTTACCGTTTAAAACCAGGATTATCATTTCTATAGTATTAACCAAAAAAGCTATCCCCTTTTGGTTCCCAAGCTGCTGCTCTTTGCTCTTTGGAATGGTTGAAACTATTGTCTTTTATAAGTGAAGCTGCTGCTGTTTACTATTTCTGCTATGTTTTTCCTTTACATTGGCTATTAGACCTCTCAGGTGGTATTTCTATCAATACTCAGCCGCCCCAGTATCCATTTTTACTGAAATATATTTTTTATTTGGAAATAGCAAATTAATTTAGGACTGACTTGTATGAAACAAACTGTATTGTCAATGGATGTGGCACAGCCTTGTATGTATGTTGTATGCAATGCATAATGGGAAATGCATTATTCATCATTTGGTATTAACAGCAGCAGAATGAATTGGACCTATCTTCATTTCTTTATGTGATCTTAAAGAAATTAAAACGTCTCGCATGCTCTTGCCTTCATAAAGGATTGTCTCCATGCCTGTACTACGTGATGAAACAAGACGCTAAAAAATTTAAAACTGGAAAGGCTAGTCAATTGCTATAAGCAGTTGTCTTGTTCGTCTTCTGTTTATATTTAACAAGCTGCTTGAGACAACACTTGAAATTCAAATAAATGTTTTGTTGCTTCTATATTTTGGTTATAGTACTGGATTATATATCAAGTAACATGTTGAGCAAGAATTCATATCAAGTTCAGCCGTGCTTGAAATCACAAACTTGTTGACAATGTATGCAATGCACACTGATGATCTCAGCATATGCATTTCATTTCTAAAACGGACAGAGGAAACTTGTTAATTGAGAGAGAAAAAAATTCACTTGAGATTTCATAGAAATAATACAAGACTGCATGTGCTCCTGTTAGATTGTTTTTATCTTGTGCTTTTATAATAAGCTGACTGTTTTGATTATAGAAGTCATTTTTTCTCCCCAATTTTGGCTTTGAATGTTTTTGTCCTCTTTTTCACTCATGATTTTATCTTTTCAGCTGGAGTGCCAATGGATAACATTCTCTATCTTGGTGGACCTAATATTGCATCAGAAATTTACAACAAGGAATATGCCAATGCTCGGATTTGTGGAGCAGAAAAATGGAGGAAATCACTAGCAAGGTTTCTGAGGCAGCCTCATTTTATTGTTTGGGATAATGTCGACCTTTTTACTCATGAAGTCATGGGTGGGTTGAAAAATGTATACGCAATTGGGGCAGGTAAGGCTCCTTTTATCTGATATTTTCCATGTAAAAGTCGAACTTTTGTGAATGATGAAGTTTATTTTATGGATGAGAATGATGAAATTTTGGTTTTGAAGTAGGTAGGGTTGAGATTTTCTTCAATAATTTTAGAGGGGGCTGATTTATAGCGACATCCAAGTGCTGCTTAATTTTTTTACGGGTTTTTCCTTTCACATGAGAAGCGTAGATTGAACCTACTATCAGCAGTACAAATTAATCTTGACAGTTTCTGGAAAATTTAGTGAACAGCAATGAATTAACTTACTTTTATTAAACTTTGTTCATTCTGGATGATCTTCTTGACACCTATATGATTGATTTTTTTAATTTTTTTTTTCTATTTGAAATTGAAATGGACAGGCATGGTGGCAGCTTTAACTAACGAAAGTGCAACAAGCAAGTCGGTATACTTTGCTCATTGTACATCAGAGATGATCTTTATTACCCATCTTTTGGCAGAAGAACCTGAAAAGCTTGCAGGTCCTCTATTGGCTGACACTTACGTGACCTTGTTGAAAGGTCGTAATGCATGGTATGGTCAGAAGTTGGCCAAACAAGAATTAAGCCTTGATATGGGTGATAGCATCAAAGGCAAGGGAATGATTCAGGTTGAATACTCTTACTAAACAAATTGTAATTCTGCTCTGAAATGAACTAATTTAAATTTATTGAAATGAGATGGAATATTTCTTGCTCTCTTGACTTAAATTTGTTTTCCTTGATAATAATAATGCAGGGAGTTTCTGCTGTAAAAGCTTTCTATGAGCTACTTGGTCAATCTCGTTTAAGTATCGTTCACCCCAATGAAAACAACCATGTTGCTCCGGTCGAGCTATGTCCCATCCTGAAGACACTGTATAAAATACTTATAGTGAGGTAATTAAATTGTGATGTTCATCAATCAAAAGTTTGTCTATATCTTAACTTATCTTGACTTTCGTTAATCTACAGAGAGGTGTCCTCAGAGGCAATCCTTGAAACTTTAAGAGATGAAACCATGAATGATCCTCGAGAACGCATTGAGATTGCGCAGAGCCAGCATATCTATAGACCCTCTCTACTCAGAAAATAGTGGGATTATATTGCATTCTGGGATGCCTAGTCTACTCTACTATATGGATCATGGTTGGCAGTTTTAGTGAGTGAAAATGTTGGGACACACTAGGTTTTCAAATGTTGTTCAAATTTTATTCTCAATAAATTTATAGTTGATTATGATATATATATTGGAATAGCTATAACTTGGCTAGCAATGTATGAAGAATTATTTTGACATTGACCAGAGTGTTAAATGGACTGAGTCGAGCTGTTTGGCTCGCTTACCGTTGGTGGGGCAAGTCAAGGTGGTTCTCGCGAGCCACCTTCAATGAGTTGCTCGTGTTTTGCTTCTAGAATCGTACCCGCAACTCATCTTGACCTCAAGCCGTATCAGCTCGACTCTCAAGTGGCGTGACACGCACACTTTCGACTCCTAACCTGGTCTTGAACTATTTCAAAAGAGGAAACATGCCTAAATGGCTACCAATTTAGTTCCTATTTGGTCCAATAAAAAAAATTGATTAAAATTTAAATCAATCGTACATTTCATTAAAATATTTTTAACTAAACCAAACATGTACTAATTTTGCAAATATTATCGCTTGTTCATATTTTCAAACCTTAAAATATACAAAATGGATATCCAATCAGATTGAGTAATTTGTTAAGCAACTGATTTCATTGAAAAAATTATTTTTGTTCATAAAAAGTAAAAGTATATAAGCATAAGGCTGAGGCAAACAGAGAAATTCCGAGGAAGAAAAGAATCATTGACGATGGCACTCGTTGATTATGCATCTTCTTCAGATGATGACGAGCCTCAAATCGAAGCAGATCAAGAACAAGAACAAACAAAAGGACCAGAAGAGAAACGATTCCGGTGTCAGGACAATCATTCAACCCACAGTCGCAAGTAATTCCTAGATAATTTTATTTTCCCTAATTTTTCATCTAGTTATACAACCTGAATTTGTACGCTTCCTGTAAATAAAACTAAGAAATATGATTTGGAATTAAAAAAAAAGCATACCTAATTAAATTATCCGCTGTGGTAATGACCTATGAAGAATGGGTTTATTTGTAGGATTTTCTACCTTTTCTATTACACAGTACTGTCTAGTCTTCCGATATTTAGGTTTTGGTTATGGTGTTGAATTTTATTTTTTATTTTTTAAAAAAAGGGACTATTTTTTGGACCTGGGGAAATGATTTTAGATATTGACGTATGGAATCCATGAACATCTAAACATAAATACTATGTTCTGTTTGAACATTGGACATACTGGTGAAAATGGAAAAGGAGAAAGAATAGCAGAACGAAATGCAAAACAAACTGACTTGCTTAGCATTTTTGTGGTACTAATTAAAATTAAGAGTTGTCAATGTTGCTAACATAGTTCTAATTAAGGCCGAGAATGGATTTCTAAAATCTCCTCGAGATAGAAATGGTGAGGATTTTTACTTTTTTGGCTCTATCTATTCAATATCAGCACAGAGACGATTCAGGCTTGAATGCACTCTGCTCAAGCTAGACCCATTGTGATAGTAAGCATCAAACTAGAGTTAAGTAACTTATTTTGAGTTGCGCCTAAAATGGGCTTGGCAAAAGCTCACCCAAAAAATATTAGCCTGGTTTGAGTGTGTTCATTCATGACATCGAGCTAAGATTTAATGGTCTAAAGTTTGGCTTGGGTACATCTTTAAGTGTCCCTCCCTCTCATCACTTATTGTTTTTTTCCTCATTTTGATATAACAACAAACAATATATTACCGTTCAGATTGGTCAGTGCCAAAAGCTGTAGCATTTCAGAAAAGGCTCATGAAAAATTATAAATTGAACTCTCCTCATTCTATCAATGATTTCTTCTTCGTCTTACTCTCTAAAATTCTGTCCAAATAATATTTTGTTATTCTCCATAAATATGAGGTCAGCTACATGAGTCTTACGAGTGAGATCCTTTTTGGGTCTAAGCAAGACATTTCCCTTAATTTTTCCTGTGCCACCTCTAATTGTATTTGTGGGATAAAGAAAGGTAAATCATTTTTTATGTGTTCATTGTTTCCTTTTCTTTTTCGATGAGTTTTCTAGTAATCAAAAACAGATATTTAGCCCCTATTTGACATCTGTTACAATGATTTTTTTTTTTTTGGGAAAAATGATTTTTGGAGAATGTTTGATTAAAAAGTAGGAAAAAAATTATGGGTATACATGCAAAATATTTTATTGTGGGAATAAAAATGAGATTGAGAAGAAAAGAGTTGATTTAGTGGATGTCGAAACATGGGCTTAGTTTGTTATTTTTTATCAGTAGATATGAACGGTAAATGTCGTCGTACTTTTTATGTGATTTTTCATTTCTCCAATGGGTTAATTGTCAAGTGATCTGGAGTATGATAATGTGGTCTGGTTGAGTACTTGACATTTATCCGAACTCAGAAGGATGGATTCTTAACAACTCGGATATAGGAAAAAGGAGAAATTGAGCTCTACTTTACTGCATCAGTGAAAGCACAGAAAACATGTAATTGAATGACCACAATCTGTGTTCACAGATATGTTTGAATTTCTGGTATTTAACTCTATGTAAAAGTTATTTTCACTGGTGACCATTAAATGCTATATTTTTTTCTCCCTTGTGCTAAATATGCTTTAAAAAGGATCTGATTTACCTTTATTCCAACTCATTTAAGTTCCGTTTTGTTTCCATAATTACCCGTCTATGATTGCATTAACCCATGTTGCACATTTGACACTTGAGCTTGGGAAGGGATGTATATCCAACATTTTGCATGGAGTTACTACAAAAGTATATCTAAAGAGGTCATTTTGTGATGCAGCTACTTTAAATTGGGTTAACTGTTCATTTTGAGCACTTCATATTACGTTGTACGTGGTCTTTGTTTTTCCGTTGTGCTGTAAAAATTAAGATATAACATGTATACGCATTGATATTAACAATGTCCATGTCCGGGACTTGAAAATTCAATGTTTGATGATCTGCATCTTTCGCTCAGTGGTCATGATATCTGTCTAAAGCACACGTGTAGCCTATTTTCAGGAGTCGGTATTTTTATTTGACTTTTTTTCTGGGTAAATCTGCACGTGCTTTAAGCACTACCTCATCAGCTTAGTTGTTATTTATCTCAACAGATTTGAAGGTTTGTGAAGGGATCCTATTTCGGATCTTTTTTCCCTTCTGTTTTTCTTTTGGTTGAGGTGAGTGGGTGTAAGGGATGCATTATGGCAGTTTCTGTTAACACAATTGTGGAAATTTGAGTAAAATACGAATAAGATCAATAATTTGAATAAAGATAATCCAGTGCTGGAGAGTATTGGGGATTTTAACCAAGGTTGTGACTTTTTGTGGGATTGGTATTTAATCTTTTTGGATATGATTGGATGGATCAGGATTTTGACAAATGTCAATTTTCCTTTTCCTTTTCACTCTTCTGATTCTTTAGCGACTGAAGGAGTTAGCCCCTTATGTATTTTGTAGATTGTAGATCTGGATCTTTCTCAGTTGTTTTTATGACATACTCCTGCTTTATATTACTTTTCTGGGCATGTAGGAGTTCAGGGTTGTCATTGAGTAAACAAACAGAAAAAATTCCTAATCAGCCAGAGTCGTCTGGACTGAAACTTCCTGATGCCTCACTCCTCTTGGATTCACCTGCTTTGCCATCTCATCTTGTGACTGCTTCAGAGCACTCATCTCGAGTTGTAGCTGCAATGGCTGAAAGCACATCTCGGAAGAGAGCCTTAAATTGTGCACCTGCCAGTAATTTACGTAGTAAAGTCCCAAAGGGAACTTTGGCTCATTCCATGAATGCTCCAGATACAGTAGGTGGCCATTTACTTCCACCTCAGCTTACTGGGAGGTGTGTACTAAATGTTGATTATTGCTAATGGTGTTTTATTTACATTTAGCTCAGGCCAAATCATAATCAGAGTCATCGTTCGTTTCTTGATACAACGCAAAGTGTAACTTATCTTCATAAATTTTACATGCTGTTTCAAAATGGTTTGAGCATGTGATTGTGTGTGACACATGTTGCATCGCTTATTCTTCTGGCAAAATGAAGATCAAATTTATCAGTTGACACCTGCCAGAAAGGAGTTTATTACACCACTTCAGATACCTGGCTACTTAATATATATATTAATCCAGTCAGTGTCTGAAATCTTAGTTATGTTTTTTTTTTTTTTTTTGTAATGGGACTTAGATTTCTTATTTTAAGTATGAATATATTTATCATTCGTAAGCTGTTAGCACTAAAGAAAATAATTGTCTCCGTATATTAAGATCTTTGTCGGTTTCATGTTCCTTTATGTTCTTGCCATCATATAATTGCAAAAAAGGGCTGAAAGAACTCTGACCCTCTAACTACTCAAATACTGAGATAAGATGAATTAGTTGATGCAAGTTTTCACTTTTCAATAATTTGTTGATTTTTTATTTGAAGTATTGTGTTTTCTCAGTTTGTTTGAGCCCATAAATCTCTAGCCTTAAGCATAAATTTAATGTGGTTGGCATGTCAATTTGTTTTCCTCAAGTTAAATTTACCCATGATCAAATGGATTTTTGCAGGAAAAACGTTGTTACAGAGGACATAAGCAAGCTCTTTGTAAGAAGGCATGCCAATACTTGATCACAATAAATGTACAAGTTAGTCGTATATTGTAATGTTACTATTGTCAAGTCAGCTTAGAAACACTTTGAATTTAAGGATCATTCCTGTTAAGACCTTACGAATATTGTTCTAAAATGTAACCAATTTGTTACTAAGTTTTTGTCTGTTAAATAGAATGCTAAAATTTGGTGTGACTGATAGTTGATACATTTGCACTTTGCTGATCAAATTTTAGCGTACTTTTTAATGCATTTATTGTGTACTGTACTGTACAGTTCCTTTCTATTGAAGTCGAAAAAGCATCTATTGAGGTGATTATTTCTAACCGTAAAAATGATCAAACATTGTCTTAATTTCTTTTGTTTCAATTTTTCCCGAAGTGGTTTGTTTCTTTTGCCATTGAAGAGTAACTGTGGAGGGATAATAGTACCATTGGCGCTGTTTGGGATATGCTGCAGAAACCTGAGCCTCGTAGGTAGATGCCTTGTAATTTATTACTCATGATTGGTGAACTTACGACTGATCGAGGTTGGTCTCAGCTTGATTTGTAACCTATGGACTTAAATAAAAGTTCTTTTTCGATTGAGTTTGTGTGAAATGCACAGAACAAATTTGAGTATATTACAAGGAGAAAAGGAGTTACAGGTGAAGCTTAACATTAATCATGAAATTTACAACCAGAAAGTGAAACATGGTGATCTAGAATACAAGCATCGAAAGAATTGCAGTGCCTTGTGAATGTCATACCTCAAAGCTGTTATTGTCATTACATCCACTCGTATCATTTGATGGCTCAAATGGGAGCTAAGAATAATGTTATCTAGCATCAAAACTCAACTTCTATTATTCACATTTTTTGTGATGATAAAAATTAATTGCTAATACATGAATTGAAACACCCATCAAAATTCCTAAATACATTAATAGAAATAAATTCATTTATAATAACTCTAAATTTATGTAAATCAAGATTTACTGAGTCTAGATTAATGTGAATGCCAACTAAATGAGAATTAATAACACGAAATTCATACATGACAATTTATTTTTAGTATTTATTACATATTGAAAAACGAAAAGTAAGGTATTATTGAAATAAATAAATTGTATTAGGGTTAAAATCGTTCAAAAAAATTATTCTAACTTGATGTGATATTTAATATATTATAAATTTAATTGGACATTATATTGTTTAACCCAACACGAATGGTGTTGATAGCATTGCTTATTTCATGAGCATGAAAGAGTCCATTCCCCAAGCTTGCATAATTTGAGCTTGTTTCATGCCAATTCTGGTCCCGTGGGAAGTGGTTCATAGCCATCGTGGTGCTTGACGTTTTCAGCGTTATTGGAAGTAATAATGGGAATGCATTTCAGGACAACAGCAACGAGCAAACTTGCAGCTCCAATCAATATGCTAACACCCCACAACTCAAGACTCAATGGCACTGTATCTGCAACTGTGCCTAAAAATTCTACGATAACTATTTGGAGAGCGACAGTGGAGACCATGATGACCATGAATATCCAGCTGCTGAAAATGCCCCGGAAAACATTTATCTTTTCCATGTCACGGCTGTTTATTTCGTTAAAAACCTGGTATTTGTGGAAGGAAGGTTCATCAGAGTTTCCCAGCAAACGTTAAGCCAGAATGCAGATGTAAATAAGGTACTCATACGTGTTCTTTTATTAGAAGCCAAATTTTAAATCAAAGAAGACGAGAAATGCTTTTAGCTTGATTGAATTTTCCAGCACATTCGAAGACACTTTTTGCAGTATGTGATTTGAAATCGAATGAAAAACAAAACAACAAGAAGGTATTTAGTCTCGAGGGAAAAAAGGATCTGGTTCTTGAAATACCTGGCAAAACACAAAGGTATTGAATATCAAGGTATTGAGAGTAGAAGTAGAATCTACACCATTGAGCTTCAAGAGCCGCTTTCCTTCAAAAGAGAGTATCCCAAGAGCAGCCAATTGGTATAAACTCTGTCCAATAATATTTCTCCACATAACCCTTGTAATGAAATGAGCATTCCTCCCAACAGGTGGTCTCTTCATCAATCCATCATATGGAGGTTCTGTAGCAAGAGCTAATGCACCAAGAGTGTCCATTATCATGTTCACCCATAGTAACTGCACAGCGGTGAGGGGCGCAGAACCTGAAGTTGTGCAGTAAAATTTTTTTCAGTCATCAATAATGCATAGATTTATAAATAGACATTTCGGTTTATTTGTGCGTAAAGGCTAGCTACCTGAAATACATGCAGAAACAAAATTTGTTATGAGAGCAACGACATTTACTGTCAGCTGGAACTGTACAAACTTTTGAATGTTGATATAAACTGATCGACCCCATTTGGCAACATTCACTATGGTCTTAAAATTATCATCCATTATCACCACATCTGCACTTTCTTTAGCAACCTGTGTGCATCAAAGAACTCTCCACCATTAAGGCGATGGGAGAACAAATAAATAAAGCATCTTATTCTACTGAATACTCCATACACAGGAGACTCACAGAGTGTTAGAAACTAGAATGAAACATATATGAAGAGATATTCTTGTTTGAACAAGCAGATTTAAATTTTCTATGTACTCTGAAAGAAGAATCATAGAAATGGATATATTTAAAGATTTTACACTAATTCCATGCATGAATTTGAAAAGGCTTCTTGTCTACTGGTTAATGATGGTTGAAGATTCATGAATTAATTTTCCATGATATTAGACAAACCTCGGTTCCTGCTATACCCATAGCAAGTCCAATATCTGCCTCATGAAGAGCAGGCGCGTCATTAGTTCCATCACCGGTCACAGCCACTACTTCTTTCAATTCTTTCCTCAACATAGTTACTAATTTGTGTTTATCCAAAGGCAAAGATCTCGCCATAACCTAAAAAATAAATAATTCGAGAAATTAAAAGCTATTTTACTCAATTCAATGTCTAACTCCTTTTCAGGCCAGTATCATACCTGCAGTCTAGGTATTATCTCCTTCATTTCCTGGATACTTTTATCGCGAAAATCTTTCCCTTCTATGGCTATACCATCGTCAGTCAAGATGCCACATTCTTTAGCTATGGCCTTGGCTGTATTTATGTTATCTCCTGTTACCATTCGCACTGTAATTCCAGCAGCTAAACAAGTCTGGACAGCTTCTTTTACGCCTGGTCGAACTGGATCCTTAATTCCCACTACTGCTACAAATGTATAGTTGTTATCAGGAATAGAATCATCAGACGTGTTTTCCATATCCTTAAAAGCCAAACAAAGTGTTCTTAGAGCTTTGCACGCAAAACAATCGATGACATTCGCAATGTTCTTTCTTTGCTCGTCAGATAAAGACACTGATTCGCCATCCCTCCCAACAATTTTGTCACACATGCCAAGAATAATTTCTGATGCACCTTTAACAAAGGCTCGAAGCTCACCACCTGGAAGAGCCACCAGCACAGACATCTTTTTCTTTACTGAATTAAAAGGTTCTACTTTTATTGTTTTGCACTCCTTTTTTTGAGCATCAGAGTCCTTCTGAAATAGCAAGCCGAACTCCAGCATAGCTGTCTCAGTTGGAGAACCTAATATTTCCATCTTACCGTCTTGACCTTCCACCACTTCAGAGCTTGTGTTTAGAAATATGCCATGGACAAGAGCTCTTGTCACTTTTTCTGGTATAGAAGACCTCAATTCATTTCCCAGCCCGTTACTTTCTATGGTTTTGGCTTCTCCACATATCCAAATTTGTGTCACCACCATGTGATTTGTAGTCAATGTGCCTGTTTTATCCGTGCAAATGCAACTAACCGAACCCATAGTCTCACAAGCAGAGAGATGCCTCACTAACGCCCTCTCGTTCATTAATTTCTTCATTGCAAAGGCAAGACTTAGTGTTACTGCCAATGGCAGCCCTTCCGGTACAGCAACTACAAGTATAGTTACTGCAATTGCAAAGAAATTCAGAAGACTCAGCGCATCATCCATAACCCATTTTGTGATCCCACCCTGCTTTGTTGCCAAAAACCGTGCAGTGAGCACTAAAAATGTCAGCACAGCAAAAGCCAAACCAATTTTCCCAATAATAGTTGCCACTCCATTTAACTTCACCTGCAATGGTGTCTCGTCATTTCCTCCTTCAGTTAGAGTGACCATCAATCGCCCCCATTCTGTCCTCATACCAACTGAAGTCACAAGCATTTTTCCTGATCCGTCTTGCACTTTTGTACCAGACAGAAGAAAGGGTCTCCCTTTATCAATATTTACTTCCTCACTCTCACCTGACAAGCTTGACTCATCAATTGACAAGCTGTAACCTGATATGAAAAGCCCATCTGCCGGAACTTGATCTCCTATGGACAGGTGAACAATGTCACCTACCACCAAATCATAAATAGAAACTTTCTGTCTGTTCCTATTCCTCGTGACATGAACAATTATATTTCGTTTTTCTTTATCGAGGTCCCTGAATTGCAAGGATTGCTTGTAGTCACTAATGGCAGTGACTAACACCACTAAGAAAATGCACAGAATTATTCCAAGCCCATCATACATGCCTTTTGGCCACCCTTCTGTGGCAATGCCAACGCCTATAGAGATTACGGCACACACCATTAAGATGATCAGAGTAAGATCTTGTAGGGTATCCCACACAAACATAAAGAAGGGCCTTGCAGGTTTCTCAACAAATTGATTCAAGCCATAGATTCTTTGCCTGTTCGAAATTTCACTCGGGCATACTCCTCCTTCTAGTGAAACAGATAATTTTCTTGCCAATCCTTCCAATCCTAAATGAGATTCCAACCGCTTGAGATCATGTGAACGAACAATTGATGCAAGGTCATCTGGATCAATGCTGAAACCAGCTTGCCTAACCTCCTCGGAGATCTGGCGCTTATCTGCTGCTCGACTGGCGGCTTTAGTATAGTATGCAAGAAACACATATGAGAAAGAAAAACAGGGAACATGAGTATGAGCAGTATGTTTCGTGCTAAAATCATACCATCAATGAAATGCAGCGC